TTGGACTCTAGAAAGAAATTAATCCCAGTATTTCACTAGCGTAATACAATAGGAACTTGCTTATTTCCACAGTCTTAGTTAGGTGGTCAAGATAAAGACATGGCTCTCCTTCATGTAGTGATCTAAGAACTCAAGTTTCTTCCATTTTGTGGTATACCTCTACTAGGAAAACACAATTATTTGCCTGAAGCTAGTGGAAAGGGAATGAGATGAAGAAGCAATGTGTTAGGTTTCAATAGGCCAAAAATTGGGTTACATCACTACTAGTCACATTTCAGTTCCACTGTGTGGGAAAGAATTCCACACAGCTGTACTTAACTGCAAATGAGGCTGCTAAATTTCTAGCTCAATGCCCAGTGATAGGAGATCGATTTTGGTGCATGGTATAGTGTCTCTCACAAGAGGACAAAGAGTTATTACCCATATGCCCTACTCCTTTGCGGTTTCCTATCCCCCTTTCTTTTAAAGTGTGTATATCAAATAGCATGAGCTTCCAACCCATGTTCTTGATCAAAGCCCAGGTGTTCGCTAATGTTTCCTAGAATTCATGTATTCTTGTTTTGTAAGTGTTTACCCTTGTCGCCTATCACATCTTATTCTGAAAGTTTGCCTCAGGTTCATTTATCAATGACTTTGGATTCTCTTGTGCTGTCTTTTACCTTTTATTTGAGTGAGAGTAAGGAATGTATGACATCTTCCAAGTGATCATTAAATATGTGATATGTGGTACAAAATTTTTATATAATATTTGCTATAATGCAAGGAAGTTATAACAGAGAATAACAACCAGTTTGAACAAACATCATCGCCACTATCATCACTCCTAAAATTTGTTGAGCACATCCATCTTTACTGACAGCCAATTATCTAGGTCTCTACTACACTTTTGTGCCCTATGAGTACCTTTTTAAGTGCTTACTTTTCCTTGAATCCCTTTATCCTTTTAGATTTTCAAGGCAACAAACTACAAAACATCGCCATAAAACTAGAATTTATTTTCTTGAATATATAAATCAATCCAACACAATTAAACTGTCATGCTAAGATAGAATTCTTGAGACAGAATTCTCGAGACAGAATTCTCGAGACAGAATTCTCTTCTATTACAGAATGCTTAATGGGTGCAGTGAGAATGTTGAATGGCTATTGAATGGCTAAGTGAGGGTTTGTTTGTTTGGTTTTTACTTTGTATACTATTATTACAGTGCTAGAAGTTTATTGTGAATTTATAAATTTATTGTGAATTGGAAGAAGAATTTGCTCTACTGCCATGCAATTGTCATAGTCTACTGTTCCTCCAATTCTGAGATAGGTAATGAACTCCATAAGTAAGTCAGGTGCTTGAGAAGTGTTGCTCAGTCAGCAATTTTATCCAAGTGATCTGCCCTTCCTCTCTAATTCCTTTGCATTTACATTATGAAAAGGAGACCTAAATTCATTTAATATGGTGTTAGCATGAATGATATACTTCCATTTTTCAGAGTTCTCATTATTTATATTAAAATTCAGAAATTTCTCTTTTTCCCTGCTTTTACTGTTTACTTTTCAGCTAGTGCAACATTCCCCAGTACAGACATCTATAGCTATTGTATTGGAAGGCTTCACCTGCAAAGCAAAGGACATGGTATAAAAAATGGAAAATTAACCAAAAATAAAGAGGAAACAATCAAAGCAACCAAAATAACAAAATTATTGGAGCCACTGTCCTTAAAATTCTATATGATAAGCATAGAAGATTCATGGTCTGTCAGTATATTATGACACATTTAGAGAAATGATTTCAAGACTACACAACACAGACATTTCCTCTCTACCATCTAATTCAATAATATTCAGGGTTGCTGTGAGCTCCAGGAAATGAATTGTCATAGACACCTCACCTCTTCGATCATCAGGATTCACTGTGCTATTCTGATATGCCCTCTTGTATGGCATTGGAGGGAAGAATACCCTCTCAAGAGTATAAAAGTAGGATTTCTATCTTTATGTAGAAACATACATGTTAGGGGTATTGTGTACACTGTGAAGCAAGAGTTATTTTTCACAGTAGAAGAAGAGAACCTGAATTAGTCATTAATGGCCTTAGACAAATATTGAAAAATAGTTCTAAGTTATTCTACAATGTTCCCCTTTGCCATGCCTATCACATTCCTTTGCTTGTTTACTTATACTTGGAGAGATTTATGCATGTATATGTATGTGCACACGTCCAACATGGATATCTGTGGCAGGGCTATGGCTGCTGTGGCAGTCAATAGTCTTTTGTAATCTTAAGTATTCAGTTTTGTGAAAGAATATTTTATGACACAGTGGTTTAAATATAGGCTCCTTTACCCCGTAATTTAGTCAAAATTTTTGATACTTTCCTTTAAAAAAATTACAATTGTCATGTCCCCTGTTTCTTGTGGACTTTTTCTTGACCTCTTGCTTTCTTTCTTCACTCTCTTTCTCCAACCATCCGTATTTCTCTCAATTTCTCTACCTTGACTGGAGAGAAGAAAGGAGATAATTATTAAGAGGCGTAAAATATATAATTGGTTCAGTGATCATGATTCTCATAATTCTTTTATTTTTCTATTTCTTCCTTAATATTTTTGACCCTTTGTCAAGTGGTAGAGATAAAATAGGATTTCAATAAAGCTCCTCAGACTAAGAGATGTTAACGATGTCTATATTCATAAATCTATAATTACATTTTTATGGTGATCTTCCATAAATCTAGAAAAACAAATATCTAATATTAGCAGTTAATATTTTTAACTTAATATTTGAAATAATGATCTCTTATTACCCAAATGTTATTTTTATAATACTGTCTAATACTGAAGTGTATTATAGTAAAAGTCATTTATGAAGTTAGGAGCCAATTTCATGATTTTATTATTTTATAGTAATACTTTTAACAACATTAGAAATAATTAGCGGCTTTTCTTAGAGATATAAAAGCTACTGGAAAAGGTAGGTAACTTTTTCTTTATATAATCTTATATACAAATATTGAACTTGGGATAGTTCAAAAAGAATATTTAAAAAATTAAAAAATAAAAACATGTAAGACTATAATAAACATATAAATTAAATTAAGTGTTATTAAGAAAACAACACAATTTTACCTTTAAACAAATACAAAACAAAGAAAGGATGCTACATGTGTGGTGTGAGTTTGGTATATGTGTATGTGTATTTGTGTATATGTCTAATAGGTGTATGTCTGGCCATGGTGTGTTAGAAAGTATGTGCACATGTCCTATATATACCCATACCCATTCTGTAGCATACTTAATATCCTTAGCTATTTGTCACTTTTGATAAAACATCACTGTTATATTTGCATGTCTGTGATGGGGAGAAAATACAATCACAGTCAGAGGAAGACTGAAACATTAAAGATAAAGATGTAATGTGAATAGTACGTCATTGCCTCTCTTACTGCCTGGTGAAATGACCTTTACCTGCGTCCTAATGTCCAGCCATGTCCTCAGCCATTCTTTCACCGGCGTGCACTGTACGCTTTTTATTCTGTCCTGCCGAGACACCTCTCTCAAATGCCTAATTTTGCCTATAGGCAAGGTTGTACACATATTGATAAATGAGAATGAGCTAAGGTATAAGAAGGCATTTAATACTTAAAAGCACAAAACTAATAGAAAGTTAGGAAGTACTGAACAAGTGTGATATAACATAATAACAAGAGTTAGGGTGAGGAAACATGCAGGTAAATACCAGTCACTAAAGATAAAAATATGCTGATAGCAGGCAAAACATATTGCACACTAGCTTCAAAAATAAACATGAATAACTAAGTTAAATGATGATTTTGGCATTATGTAACTGACCTAGTGAAATAGCTGTCTTAAAGTAACAACAGGTTGAACTTTACAATGGGCTAATTATTAATGAGAGGAAATAACAGCTGTGCAGTAACAACTTCCATAAAAGATTTACCCTCAGAAAGGATGGGGGAATTGTGATCTATCAAAAAAACAATTTAAGTTGACACATATACCATTTTTAAAGGTCTTGACTAGAGGTATTTTTAAGTGAACCATTTTTTTTCCAACATTCTAAAGCATCTTATTTTTCACTTAAACAAAAAAAGCTGATTAATGGTTGAAATTTTCCATATAAAATGGTCTTGACTTTCTAGTGGTTAGAGTAATAATTATTAAAACCAAAAAATGTTAACATCACAAAAAAAGTTTATATTTGTTAGGAAGGGGAGTTAACATCCAGAATCTAATTCTGATTTTTATGAAACAGTCCACTAGAGCTATAGTTAGCTATAGACATGACTTCTGGCCTCAAGGGATCTGCCTGCCTCGGCCTCCCAAGGTGCTGGGACTACAGGTGTGAGCCACCACATCCAGCCTAAAGTGCAGTATAAATCTAATGTTTTGTTGTTGATTTTCTATCTAGACAATCTGTTCAGTGCTGAGAATGGAGTGTTGAATTCCCCAGCTATTGTATTGACATCTATGTCTCCCTTTAGATTTAATAATATTTGGTTTATATTATATATCTGGGTGCTCCAGTGTTGGGTGCATATATATTTAGAATTGTTATGTTCTCTTGCATTTATTTCTCCTTGATTAATGATTCAGGGCAGTGGATATCAAATCAAGATAATTAATGTCACAGACTTAAATTGTAAGGAATATTAATGTGTGTGAACAAGAGAAACACACCGTTTGATGGAGAAAGAACCTTGAGGGCAGTTGAATCATCCCCCCTCCCAATCTTTTTAATGTGGAGGGAATACCTGCTATTAGTATTTCCAAGCTCTACCACTCCGAGTACAAATTAGGTCACATTTACAATACATCACAGCTTGACACTCGGCATTAGAGACTTTCACTGTTCACCCATGACTTTTCATTGCAGTTAAATGAAGTCAGGTGACTAGAATTGGCAGAGATTTCTGAATGGAAATAATATGTCATTCAGGGTCAAAGCCTTGGATTACTGGTGAGAGACCACCTAGCACTGCCTTTCTCTTCCAGGTGAACTGAGGAGATGGCAAACTTCAGATGGAGCACGTATAAAGTAGTGGAAATTTCATTAGCCTGGATTACTGAGTTGCTGCAAAAAGAATGGTTTCCCTGGTAAGCTGCTTAGCACCTCAGACAACTTTACAGAAGCTAAAAATAAGCTTTTACTGTATAACTACCAATGGTTTGTCGTTCTTTACTACCTCAATATATATTCTAGGTTTTCATGAGGAATAAATGTTCATGTCACCTATCTTGACTAGTAAAAAATTCAGTCATTTTCTAGAATTTCAAAACGTGTCTAGAGTATTATACTTCTTTTGAAACAGTTTTGATGTTGTCTAACCACATATGGTTAAATGGAAATCCTTGAGGACAAATTCTGCAACTTACGTCCTTCTGCCAACTTTGAGAATGATTTTCTCAATGTATTCAACCCCATCTGTTGATCTGGGTTTGTTAAGCATCCCTGATACCTGTGACTAAGGCAGGAAGTTTGATCAGATGCCATTGCCCTTCTGCCACACCAAACATTGGGAAGACATCTGCCAAGGTGAATGCCTTAAATCCCAAGATTTTATAGCTTCAATGAGAAGACAAATGAAAGGAAGTGATTTTGGTCAGTTTACCCCTGCTTGTCCTTAAGGTAAGTGTAAATTTTAGGTAATTTATCTAGGCAGAAATTGTTGCATGAGATGAGATGCTCTCCTCACATCCTCCAATAATTAGTTGAGAAACGTACTATCACAAAGTGGCTTGTGGCCTGAAGTGCTGCAGCTACTAGTGGAAAGTTGTTGTAGAGTCTCCAGAATCTTACATGTCTGCAAAACATTTTCACTCACTCCTTTGAGTTGCTACTTGAGTGCTTCCTACAGCAATCTTCTGCACCAATCACACCTTTTGTGGTTCTCTTACTACTAATGTTCTTTTGGGTGCTACTGAAATGACTAGCTTGAGGTCTTCATTTTATAGCTTGCCAGATTAAATTATCTGCAATTTATCTGATATCCTGGAACCTACGGTGTAATTATCACACATTTTGATGACCAGAACTTTTAGAAATCTGGCTCCAGGTCAAAAGCCTGTGTGTGATCTTTCAGGTCTGACTACAGGTAATTAAAAAGACCTTAACTGGAAAGCCTCATGAGGGACAGCTGTCTTCCTCACATCAGGCTTGGTGCACAGCCAGTGCACTGCAGTCTCTGGAGAGAACTGCAGTCAAAGACTCAAGCCACCTGCCCACCTCAAGCCAGGCATGCTCATACTGTATATAGGCATTCCTACCTCAAGAACTTCATCTCTGAGGTTTTTGTTTTTTTCACAAGGACACCTCCACCAAGGCATTTTTCAGGCAACTTTGCCTACACTTTCTTACCGGGGGCATTTGACTGAGATACTGTGTGTCACACTAACTCAGTGTTTTTCCAGTCCTAGGTCTCCCCCTTTCAGGATCCTCAGCCACCGGGGTCCATAAAACTGCAAAAGAATTTCGTTCAGGGCTCCTCCACAGTGAGGTATTTCTCACGCCTGAATTGCGTGTCATCTGAGTGATCTGTGCCTGATATCATTCCTTGGAGAAAAACAAAACATTTGGGATATGACACATTTTTATTTGCCTCTTGCCTCCACCATCACAGTAAATGAATAAAAATTTGATTGTTACTTTTACTTTACTTCACTGCCCTAATTAACCACCATGACACCTGGCAGATCAGCAAACTTTTTCAGATGTTTTCTTCTGGGTTTAGAAAGAGGAAGACTGAGTGCTCCACCATTTTCACTGCTTCTTTATCCTCTCTCTTACTACTTCTGTAAGAAAAAGCAAAACAATGGCAACAACAAAAAACACATACAAATAGAAAGAGCCAGCAGTTACATTCCTCATGACCCAAAAAGAAAATCTCTACAGAATAACAGAGTCCAAATAACTATACTATTATACATACAAAGACTTCTATATGCCAATCAGAGCATCCATTTAAAAGTTGGCATTTGTTGAGAATTCACTAGTGTTTGCTGTTTCTCTGTGAATCTCATCAGTTAACCATGTAAATTGAGGTGTGTATTTTTCAGCGAAAGACTCTGTTTCTGAAATTACTAGGACAGAATTGCTTATCATATCTAGCTAAAATCAGCTTTACTCTTTTGGAACTCTCTAAGTGGATGCATACATTGACAAATTCAGGTGAAACTGAATGATAACTTAAAGAGATACAAATGATAGCTTAAAGAATCGTAAAACCTGTGAAGAAAGTGTACTGCAATCACAAATGTATTGGGTAGGTTTATATTCAAAGACAAAGGAGGAAGTAGCAGGGTGAGATCTGTATGCATGTCTCTGGGAATGTTTTGTTCAGTTTCCATGTTGCTAATGTACCAACATTAGTAAACCAAATATGACTTACATTTAAGTAATATTTTTAAAATGAGTGGATGAAAGAAGGAAATTGGTACATATTGAAACTACGATAGCCTAATATGATTACTTCTCTTAGAATTAACTTTTTTCTTGACATAAAAATCATTCCCTATTGTTCCTCTGAAATGATTATTAGAAAGTATTAAAATGTAAAACACTATTTCCATATCAAGAAATGTGGCTTTATTATGGAATCTTATGTTAAAAGAGAGGTCATAAAACATTATTTGGTGTGAAATAATATTTGCAAAATTGGTTCAAAAAGGGCAATTCAATAACATTAAAGATGTGTGGAAAATACATATTGATGGCTAGAATTATACTCCGTTTATCTCAATATGCAATTGATACCGGAATAAATACTAAAAGTTTTCTCATATAGACGTATTTAAATACATTATCTACTTTCAAATGTCAGTTGTGATAGGAGCCAAATCCTAAATAAATGAACAAACCCTTACATTCTGGAGCATAACTTTCTCTAAAGATACGTAACAACCCAAAATTCCTACTGAAGACTTACTCTAAAAACAACATGCTTAACTTTAATGTAGACATTTTGGAGGATCAACATACAGACACAATACATACGTCTTTTTTTATTATTATATTATTATTATTTTGGAGATGGAGTCTTGCTCTGTTGCCCAAGCTGGAGTACAGTGGCATGATCTTGGCTCACTGCAATCCCCACCTCCCAGACTCAAGGGCTTCTCCTGTACTCCTCAGCCTCCTGAATAGCTGGGACTACAGATGTGTGCCACTGTCACTCGAACTCTTGACCTCAGGTAATCCACCTACCTCGGCATCTAAGAGTGCTGGGATTACAGCTGTGAGGCACCATGGCTGGCCTCACAGCATCTTGGTTTATTATTCTAAAAGAGAAATAAGAATATGGCTGAAACAAAAATGACTAGCAGAGCATAACAGCATCTCTAAAGTGCCTGAAAACCAAAGAAGAACAGGTCAAGTGAAAAATAAAAACAAAACAAAGGAAGAAGAATTGTATTTTTGCAAGTAATGGGAAAAAATGAGAACACTGAAGAGATAAATTATACCAGCTAAATGAAATTATAAAGATCAAAATCACCTGATAAGGCTGACAGACCATGGACACACACACACACATACACATCATATGAAAGCCACATAACAATAAAAATACTCACCAGTTTATGAAATAACTTTAATGCTGTGGCAAGTCCCTTTGAGAATACTCAGTTGATTATTATTATTTATTATTATTTTTTGTGTGTGTCGGTGTCTCGCTCTGTCTCCCAGGCTGGAGTGCAATGGCATAATCTCAGCTCCCTGAAACCTCCGACTCTGGGATTCAAGTGATTCTCCTGCCTCAGCCTCCCAAGCAGCTGGGACTACAAGCACGTGCCACCACGCCCAGATAATTTTTGTATTTTTAGTAGAGATGGTTTTTGAGACCAGGCTGGTCTCAAACTCCTGACCTCGTTATCCACCCATCTTGGCATCCCAAAGTGTTGGGATTACAGGCATGAGCCACTGAGCCCCACCTCAGTTGATTATTAAAGAAATAAATCAATCTTTTAAAAATTCATTTACAGTTTACATAGAAAAAATTGCAAATTTTGTGAAATCATATTTTATTAGCAATATACTTTTAGCCAAAAATTATAAATTTGATAAGGCAATCACTTAATTGACATTATAATCTGAATACCTTGCTAGATAGACCATATTATTTTTTTCATCCAAGCATCTGATACTTTACTGTGATAAATTTGTTTTTTTAACTTTTTGTGTGAAAACTGAAAAATGCCAATTTTGTAATTGGAAAGCAAGTCTAGAAGCTGAGAGGTAGCATTCTTCTTTGTTTAGCTGAGTGCTTCAATGTAAACTTTTCTGGTATCACAAAACTCCTATGCTCCGTTTCATGTACTTTTAATTTTACCTGTCTCCAGAACATTAGGTCACATGTTCTGACCTGGGTAAAAACTGCAGCGAAAAATATGCATATGATCCAAATAAATATATGAAGGCACAATCCAGTAAGAACTCACCTCATAACGTATGACACACTTACTGCTTCCCACTCCCTGCTGATTTTAAATGCTGGAATGTTGTGAAACCTGCTGGTGTCCCCTATATGCCATCAGAATGTGCAAGGAATATAATGTCCTATGGAGCAAACCACTGATCAATGGGAAATGAAACCTGGCAAATAAAAAAGTATTTTCTTCCTTCCCTGTAATAGGTAGTCCTGAGAAACATCCATTTATATTGTCTAAAGGAAGATGACATTAAAATGGCAAACACTGCAATTACTTTTGCGCCAACCTAATACTTGATAAAAACCAGCTTGCTAATACTCCCTTGTTATTTTTTCCTGTTTTACTTCATTTTTTCCCCACTTTCTGTTCTCCAGGACATACAACTCTATGGAGTAGGAGGAAAGCTTCCTTGGCTTCAGATGCTACTGACGTAGAAAGTAAGGCCAAGGTAGTTGAAGCCAGGATTACTCTAGAAAGCAGCTGCTGTGGATAAGATCTGAAGCTAGATTATTATACACAGTGATATCATGGACATTGCAAGGCATGGCGGGGAGTTGGGTGTAGATGAAGAAGGAAAAATTACCTATTGGATACAATGTGCACTATTCAGGTGACAGGTACACCGAAAGTTCAGACTTCACCATTATGTAATTCATCCATGTAACAAAAAACCACTTATACCCTAACATCTACTAAAATGAAAATGAAATTAATATACAAACAAAATGATTTATGAGTGCGGCAATTAGGACCCTATCCCTGGTAGCAAGTGAGGTGGTGATACTACTTTTCATGTAGTGACTTTAAAATTATCAAGCTTTAAGTTGCAATTGATTGGGACAGGATACAGATTCTAGGTATGGTATTAGGATCTGCTATCGGCATGGCAACTGGAAGGTATTGCAGCAATGATATAAAAGTATGAATCTGGACGGTTGATGTTATAAATATTGGAAACTTTGGGAAGATTAAATGGAGGGTCCAGGATAACCAACTTTCAATGCTAAGAAATGATAAAACTGGGGACGACAGTGGAATATATGAAGGGCAGAATGTGCTGAAAAATTATTTTGATGATCTAATTGTAAATCAGGAAGAGCCTAAATGCATATCTCTAAATCTGAAGAACATTTGGGTTTGTAAGCCTGATAATCTAGTACCCCGAAACCTATGGGAAGAAAGAAGAAGAAGAGGAGAAGAAATTATGATCTGAAGTGTCTTGAGGAAAATCATAAAACTGACCTTTTCTACACCAACCAATATAGTAATCAGAAGCAGCATTGCTGTACATTAGATCCCCAGAACTTACCACCTTAAAACTGAAAGTTTGTATCCTTTGATCAACATCTCTCCATTTAGCCCTTCCCTCAGCTCCCGGTAACCACCATTCTACTTTCTGCTTCTATGAGCTCCACCATTTTAGATTTCACATATAAGTAAGATAATGCAGTATTTGTCTTTGTCTATCTGGCTTCTTTCACTTAGCCTAATGCCGTCCAGATTCATCCATGTTACTGCAAATGGCAGGATTTTCTTTCTTTATGGCTGAATGAATACTATTCACAAATGAAATATTAAAAATTAAACAGCATTACCAAGAAGGAAAGAATTCAGAGATTAGTGCTACCAAGAAACTAAATAGATCTTGAATAATGAAGGTAGACTACCATCTAAATAACCAGGTAATAGCCCTAATTACAGCTGCATTTTGAATCTTTATTGGAGCAGATAAAACACAAAACTTCATATATGATCATTGATGTGGCAAATAATTTCTTCTCAAACCTAATCAGTGGAGAGGATCAAGTTTAATTTGCATCTACATATTAAGGACAGTGATGTATAATCAATATTATGTATAGATACTTTGCTTTTAAATTATCTAGTAAAGGACGGATTTTAATGAGTGCTAAGTGGAGTGAGAGTTTTATTGTTTTACTTTTAAATAAAACATTTTTTGTCTTTTCTAATTTTCTCATGGTGTCACAAAGGCCCCCTTTTTTGTTATTTCTTTGATGGAAAGCAGTTTATTAGATTTCCATAGAACTTTCATAGTTGTAGCCACATATAAGACAATTAGTAAAATTGAATTTTAATTTACTTCAAGAACTTCTGGGTTTAGTTGCCTTAAATGATTACTTCAATAGATTTTACCCCATTCAAAAACATTTTTTTAGAATTAAACAAAGATCTTTATGTATATTATTAACTATCACAATAGTAATCATCCATTTTTAAACAGTTACAACTATTGACGGTATTGCCATGAATATGTTGATAGGATTTTAAAGTTTTCTTTACCAGTCACATTTAGCACACTAAAGATATATCTTATTAATTAAACAATCTGTTTAATTATTTACTTACCTTTCCTAAATTGTACTTGTTATTTTTAAAGTTTAAGTGAATATGAATGTACACCTGAGGGAGAAATGAAAGGCAAAAAATATTTCAGCCTTAAAAATGTATTAATGGTAAGAAAAGCACAATGAATAAAAAAGAAATGTCAATTAAAAAATGTCTGGGTTGAATTTTGGGCCCCAACATATTTGAAACTTGGGGAAACTTATTTTACCTCCACGAAAGCTGGCTTTCTTGTCTATAAAAAGAGATATACCTATATCATAAATTAGCTATTTGGAGTAAACAAAAAGGCATGTAGAACACATAAAATTGAAAATTTCTCCAGCATCAGCTTTAAATTGGCTGTGATAATTGGTAGTTATTAAAAAGCTTTAGCTGACTGTAGCTACTATGATTTCTGATTACTGTTTCCATCTGAAGCATCAGATGTCTGTTAATGCCTCTGTGGGGGTGTAAGCTATAGATGATAGGTTCATGTCATGGTGGACTCTCAATGCTAGTAGTTGCCTACCCAATTACCAGTGTCTCTTACCCTACTAATAAGAACTCCAATTTTCCTTGGGTATCCATAGGTTAATTAAAATTATTTATCTTCTCACATTAACTTGGGGCCAGAGAATGCCATCATGATGCAGTTTTGGCCAATGTACTTTAAAAAGTTGCTGGATCAGACTTTCAGGAAACTTTTTTATGAAAGGAAATACACCTTGTGTGCTCTCTATTTGCTTTTTTTTTTTTCCCCCTTCTCTCTGTCTCTCTCTTTTTTTTTTGAAATGAAAACTTGATACCTGGAAGTGTGGCTGCCATCTTGTGACCATAGGGATGAAAGCTACCAGCTTAAGCTGATAGAGGAGGACAATGAAAGGGGCATAGGTTCCTGTTGACAAAGATAAATTTCCATGCCAGTGTGGATT